CGCACAAACAGAAAATGTAAACAAAGCTTGCAGTTTTTGTCCCCAATCGAATCGAGTCTACCGGACTATCAGGTGAACGTTTCTTTACAGATTATCTTGATTATGGCTCACCAAGATGTTTTCCTGTATGATCGTGTTGTCTCTGATTATTTGGTCTACCTCWGACTCCAGTGATGACAAGCATCAATGAAGTTAGTTTAAAGCCTATTTTGGATATTCATACTTGCTGTGTCGACAAATAAAAATTGTGGTGCCTCATTTGTTCGGTTCAGTACAGCTTTTGTTCAGAGGTTTCCATAACATCAAGCCTCTTCATTTTTTTTGCTTCTCAAGTGTCCATGCTTTAGTCATTTGTTAATGCTCTCTAAGTAAAGTACTTTGTATGAAACTGGTCTAACAGCATGCTCCAGACAAAACAGGAAAAATACACCTGATCTACAGGGGCCACAAACAGAATATCCAATGTCAGAGTAAAACTAACTTCACTGCAGTGAGAATGAGGGGCTCATCTTGGTGGTGGTCTTCATGATCATTCAAATTCACATCTGATTCAGGGTTTTCACTTGGTTCTTGAGATCCAGCAGTTGGTTTGGGATCATACAGATGTGGTTGAATATCAGTTTTCACTGATAAACAATGTGAACTTAAACTTTGGTCAACAGCTGGCCATGGCACTGATCAACCAAGGGCAATAACTCTCTACAGTCACAACAACCCTATTGTGCTTAAAGGTTTAAAGTGAAGAAATGGACCACAGGAATGTTTTATGCAGGTGTTTAATTAAAATATAAACATTAGAACCCATTATTTTTATGTTTCACCTGTAAGTGCTGGAGAAAGGCACCAGCTACTCTGAACAGAAACAAGCAGGTATTGAAAATGTATAAATGGATGCTTAAATCACCCATTGCCTAAAGTCAGAGATTATCCTTGTAAACATGTCAATTAATGTTCCTTTGCAATTTATTCATTAATTAATCATTGGTGTTCAATGGTAATTATTTCATGCAAGGTGGGGCGGGGCTTGGTAGGAAAAGGAACTGATCAGCACCTGACTGTGGAACATGAAACTTTGATTTAATCAATTTAAAATGCCAAAAAATGATGATATTGGACAAGAAACCAGATATGAGATCCATTCATCCAATCAATTTCCTTTACCTGCTTTTTAATAGAAGTTCACAGGTGAGCTGGGGCCAATCTCCAGACATCATTGCGTGAAAGGCAGGGTACACCCTGGATGAATTCTTCGTATTGTTCTACACTGTGTGCTGAATGCTCCAGCTGGTTTACAGGAATAAGTTGTTTTAAAAGGCCATTATATGATGATGTCATCAAAAACATCCAGTCAATTAGTCGATTCTGGTTTGAACTAAAATTTGAGCAGAACTTGTTGACGGAACTTTAGTTGTGTGAACTGGTTCATTGTGTCCAAACAAAAGGCTGCAAGGTGACTCCTCCTCATGTGTTAGAGTAATTAGAAGTTCTTCCTGCTGGGGAGCCCAGGCCTAAATATTTAATTCTAACTGAGCTGTGGTGAAAACATGCCATACCACCTGGGTTCTCCATGTTCAGTATGCTGAGTCCACGGTGGAGGAGCCACTGGTAAGATGCTTTGTGCTGAAACAGATGTGTGTGTGTGGGGGGTGGGGGGGGGGGCGGCAGATCTGCAGCACAATAATACTGTATGGGTGTTGATGTGTCACAGATAGGTGTGTGAATGTTTGGATCAGAAGCAGCTGTGTGTGCTGCAGAGCTGACAGCAGCTGAAGCCGTTTTGATCAGAGGAAACCGACAGATAAAAAGGTTGAACTCACAGAAAGATGATCAGTGAGGATCTGCAGAGAGAGAAGAGACTCAGACTGATGCACGCAGGGAAAAACTTGCAGAATCTAAAAGACAAACATGCACTCAGGTTCTGGCTGTGTTTGGCACAGACTGTTTTTTTTTAACTTTAATTCTCACGTTTGTGTTTTTTTCTCCTCTTCACTGTTTTGACAGATATGTGTCACAAAGATGTCCACACGCGGCTGCCAGGGATCCGACTCTGTCATCAAGCCCCTGGACACCATCCCTGAGGACAAGAAGGTCAGAGTTCAGCGCACGCAGAGTGGCTTCGACCCCTTTGAGAAGCCCACCAGTCAGGTGAAGAGGGTCCATTCTGAGAACAATGCCTGCATTAACGCCAAGAGCTCATCAGCCAGCAAAGAGTCGCCCAAACTACGCCGGCATTCCAGTCCGAGTTCTGTAAGTATCACCTATACGGCTGTCTGTGGGGACATTTGGTTCAATATGATACATTTTACAGATTTGTTTTGTAGTTTATTGATTCATGTTTTGTATTTGTCCGTCAGGGCGAGGGTGACACAAGATTGTGAACTGAGGCATTTGTTTCCATGAATCTGTCCATCTCTTGCTGCCTCCACCAGCAATGCACTTCAGATATGACAAACATTTAAAAAGTGCCTTTACCATAACTTTGGTTTTACTTGGCCTATCAACAAAATTTTTAAAACTGGTGTAAATTTTGAAGTCTGTACTTTGTACACAAATTGGAACAGATTCTTAGAGAGATCATATTTTTCCCCACTAAAGTGATTTAAATCAGTCATTTGACTAGGATGTACATCCAGAGACTCTAGGTATTAATTGTTTTTTTTTTGTCACTTCAGTAGAAAATGAAACCAAATATTATTAGTTTATTTAGTTTATTTATTTCTTCATCACCAGTGACTTTTTTAAGTGAAGAGAAAATAGAGACAGAGAGAAAAACAGAGAGAGAAGTAATTAGAAAGATTGAAATAGCGATTAGAAGTATATTAAATATACACCAACAAAACACAGGACCACACACGCAACATCTGTCCGCTCACCTGAAAAATAAATGGATAAATATCTGGAAGGCATATATAAATATATACACATACCCATACATATATAAATATACAGTATACATACATACATACATGCCTACAGTACATTCATAAATATTGTCCGTATACACACACAGACATATATATACACTCAGTAACCAGTCAGAACCCCTGGATCAGAACACCTGTTTGTGAGCAGTTGTGAACATGCGTGTATATACAAGATTTCTCCAATGGAACATTTAATAGTGACTGTGGAGGACTGAGACCCAACCCCCAAGACACGAGGCAGACATAGGGAAGACCAGAGCCCAAGGGCCCGAGAGGTCATATTAATRGTTAACTGCTAAATACCCCAATTGTGTGGTTGTTTTTTTGCCAATATCATCCAATCCTAGTTTTTAGCGGTGTAAAAGCTCCTGTGTAGGTATGGTACAGTCAGGTAGGATCATGATTTGGATCAGGCGCCAAACCTCCACAGTTAAGTTGTGGTGTTTTATCATTGGGCTGATTTTTTTAAATTCCCTAAGGTTCTGGGTAACATAGGGTGTGATGGTAGAGGTGTCCATGATCATGATCATGACCAATCACCTGTGTGACTTTGTCAGCAAGAGTTTTGAAACACGACTGGCTTCAGTAGCTTCATGTCAAATGCACAAATACCCACAGAAACACTCTTGGAAAAGTTTTCTGAAGATTTTGGATTGTCTGTAATGCCCCTTTTCCATTAGTGCCATGTAGTGCTGGTACGGTTCGGTACTGTTCCAAGCCATTTCCATTAGGCCAGATTCAGGGAACCGGCCCTTTTTTAGTACCTAATTCATTGTGGTTCTAAGCAGTCCCAGTTGACACCAAAATGTAATATCAGAACACTGTTCATCACTGATTAGCTAGGGGGTGGAGTCCCTTGTTGCTTCTAAGCTGCCTTTACAACAACAACTCAAGGAGCCATTTTTTCAATTGTAGCAGTGACATCAGTTGTGTTTCTATCCAATTTTCATTCAAATTTTTAGCAWTTTTTTTTAAATTTCAGAACTTACTCGGCAAATGTCTTTCCATCTCTCATTTTGCACATTAACCTTACTTTTCGAAAAACCCGAAAACCACCTCCACCAACCACCCAAAACACACCCACTGGAACCGGACTGGAACGTCATTGGAAAAGCACCCGAACTGACCCGTTCCGACATTAACTGTACCAACACTACACTAAGTGGCACTAGTGGAAAAGGGGCATAATTTATGCCAGAGCATTTATGATCTTATGARGTTGGACAAGAAGGTCGGCCTCATGATTAGGGTTGCACAATATTCGGCAAACCTGTGATTTGTGATAACAGAGCTTAATATTGCGATGTCAATATGACTTACGATAAATGATAAGTGTTGATGTCTTTCTGCAATGGGTTCAGAGCAAAAAAACAACAGCTAATACATCATTTCCATTCCTACATGACAGTTTTATTAAAGCAAAAATGCAACTGGATACACCTGCTGTAATAGCAGTGAAACAACAAACTTCATGCAATACAGTTTCTTAATGACTTTAAAACATCACCCTAGAGCTGGGCGATATGGCAAAAAAATTATCATGATTAAATTTTTCATATCGTCCAATCTCGATTAATATCACAATTTTTTTGTTAACCTAAAAAGTGACTGAAAAATATCTTAACAAATACATAGCTACAGAAATAAAAAAGGCTGTTATTTCACTTTCACTAACTTAACAAATAGCTGTGGTTCAGTAGAACATTAAATTATTTTTGCAAGATGTTTAAAAAGGTTTTTACCAAGAATAAAAACATTTATGTGTAAATCATAGAATCTCACATTAAGAAAGTTATCCTTCTGTAAAAATTAAAATTTTAGAATTGAATTTTACATTAAATATGCCATAAAGAAACATAAACCCTACAAACAGCAACACTTTGTGCACACTTTGAATAGGATKTAAGCTCATTATTAATTTTTTATGGAAGGAACCCCCACCCCCACGACCRCCTCCTGTTTACAGAACTTTATCAAACAACTAACAGCGCTGTTTCATTTTTTCTGAAAGAATATCTGATTTGGCACACATGACAAAATCTTGGATAAACTCCCAGCTTCAGAGTYTTCAGGAGTTTGCYGCYTCTTTCAGCTGCTGTTTGTGATGAGACTCAGACAGGAAGTGGTCCACTTCGCGTCCAGCCCATCGTGTGCCGATAAGACATACAGAAAGTTCTTCTCCAGATAAATGAAGAACCGCTGGGACATTGTTCCATCCTAAACGTTACCCTAAGACTGCTTCATATTTTTGAAGGACGTTTTTGTTTTAGCAGGCCACGCATCACGGCTCACTTTTCTTTTTTCCTCTCTCTCTCTCTCTCTCTCTCTCTGTGTCGGGAGGGGGACACCTCGCGTGCCTGTTAGCAGGTAACGCTGGTACAGGAAGCGACAGTGGCCAAAATACCTCAGAAACTCGTCCAAAGACGCAAACTCTGTGAGATTCAGTGTTTTWTACTGAATCATTTTGGTTAATTCTGTGATTCTGTCTGCCTTTCCTTAGCAACTTATAAACAGAAGTGGATCAGGAGAAGGTGGATTCTGATTGGCTGTTGTCACGCACATTTCCGCCATGTTTGATCGAGTAAGAGACTCACAGCTGATCACCGTGATCGGCCTGAATTTTTTCTCGATCAATAATTGCAAACAAATAATCGCCCCCATAAACATTTCCTGATGCTTTAAATACTGAAAAACACCTCTTACTATCAGTTGTTTTAAATAAAGTATAGAAAAGGAGACAATCTCAGCCATTGTGACTCTCACTAAACCTGCTCAGTTGTTTGCTGAGTCTGCGAATGGGGTAGGCATCTAATGTAAAGAGATCCATCCGATTGGCCAAATAAGTGAATGGCTCTATTTAGGCCTGTCACGATAGACAATAAATCAATTAATTGCACGATAACTTTTTTGAGGTCGGTAAAAAAAGACGGTGATAAGTTTCATTTTCC